ACGCCTCGTACGTCATGAGCCGCACCGTTGACTCGCACTTCCCGGACGTGTGCAACAAAGTGTTGAAATGCTCTCGAGTCCAGTCGGCCATCAAAGAGGCCGCCGGCGAAGAGTTCAACGAATTGCTTGAAGAAGAAGCAGGTATTTACGTATTCTTCTTAAATCCGTGGCCACTCTTTGTTTACTTTTCTTACCCTATTTCGTGGCATACATTTGCGCCCTATTATAGATAGAATTTAAACAACAGGTGCATATACACCTAGGTGTCTATGTTTTCACTTATATAAATGTCATTAAAACTCACTTATATTAATAAATTATTATATAAATATAAATTATGTTATATAATTAAATGTTAATTGACGAGATATCAACTTTATATTTTGAATAAATTGCACATAATTTTAGTTCTAATTGTATGCAACGATATGTGAGAAATACCACAATAGAAGAGACAGATAATTACTATTGGCGCCAGTCTTACTGGTTCTGGTTCTGTCTGGTTCTCCAGACCCCCACTGCCTCCGGACATAATAACCCATTAATGACATACCTTTGTGTCTCAAAGTAATGATTTGTGTTATGAATGCATTTGTCAATCAATAGGTCTGATGGAGGAGAAAGAGCTAAAAGTATTGGAGCGAAAGCATAGGTCGCGTGCAATAGATATACTTCAACGGATGAAGTCCTGTATCTCCGGTTCGTTGCTTCGGATCGCCGGTTGGGTTCTCTATAAACTGCTCTCCAAAATACTCACTACTATTCAGTTTCATAAAGGTTTGCATTGATTTTGTTGCCTATTCTTGTCTTAACCCAAAAGCACAGCTTTTTTAAACCCAAAAAAACTATGTTTACAATTGAATTAAAGGCCAAATCGAGGCACTGCGTCGGTGTCGGAGCGCGTCGGCCAATATACCCATCGTTTATCTACCCCTTCATCGCTCACATCTCGACTATATATTGGTCTCATTCATACTATACATGAACAACATTAAGCCCCCACTGGTGGCCGCGGGCGACAATCTGCTGATACCCTTCTTCGGCAATTTGATGCGAGGTTTGGGCGCTTTCTTCATAAAGCGTCGACTGGACGACAGCGACGGCAAAAAGGATCACATCTATAGGGCTGTCCTCCAGTCCTATATGACTGAAAACCTAAAACAGGGTAATTCTCTCGAGTTCTTCATCGAAGGCGGGCGCTCTCGTAGTGGCAAAGCGTTGACACCGAAGTCGGGTCTCCTCTCTGTGGTCGCCGACTGTATTCTCTCAGGTATTCATTCATTGATTAATTGATAATCTGTTGAATTGTATAAATAATGTGTTTCTGTATTGATAGGCGAAGTGGAGGACGTGTTTATAGTTCCGGTCGCCATATCCTATGAGAAGCTGATCGACGGCTCGTTTGTGAGCGAACAGTTGGGTAAACCAAAAGTGGCCGAGAATTTCACGTTAGCCGCCCGTTCCATATGGTCTACACTTCACTCCAACTTCGGCTCCGTTAGAGTCGACTTCTGTCAGCCATTTTCACTCAAAGACTATTTACATAACGCGTCCTTCAATATACTGAACAGCCATTTGATTATTAACAACAAAATCCATGACAAATCCGCTCACAAATTGTCCGAATGTGTCGCCTGTTCTGGTAATTCAATGACCGCCGCAATTGTTTATGCGTTTGTTTTTAATATCAATTTGTTGTTTACTTTTCAGGCGTGCGAAAAGCCTCGTCCTTACAATCACTTTACGGACTCGATGTGGTTGTGTCCGAAGACAAGAGGCAAACCATCGAGAAACTGGCCGAACACGTGATCTACGATGCGTTCAATGCGATGCCCTTAATGTCTACACAATTGGTGTCATTCCTATTGCTAACCAAACACCGAAAGGGCACAACTCTTCACCAATTGGGCCAAAGTCTCAATTGGTTGCGCGAAGAGTGCGATCGCCGTAACCGCGAGCTCTCGATCACTGGCGACTCACTGGATGTGATCCGCACGGCTTGCGGTCTTCTCGGCAAAGAGCTGGTGGCCATCGAGAAGATCTCAATGGCGTGGTCGTCATCGGACGGCATGGGCGCCATCACTGAGAATAATAACGTTAAGATTGTATTTCTCAAACCGTCTATTAAATTACCCCACGTTCTGGAACTTCAGTATTACTCCAACTCTTGTATTTCGGTTTTTCTCACCGATTCAGTCGTCGGTTAGTCTTTGGTTTTTATATGTATTTTCCTCTTATCTCTTCTGTTGACGTTTAAAGAGACAAATATTTGCCTTTTTTCCTCTTATCAAATGAACTTCTCTTGGTTTTTCTCACCGATTCAGTCGTCGGTTAGTCTTTGGTTTTTATATGTATTTCCCTCTTATCTCTTCTGTTGACGTTTAAAGAGACAAATATTTGCCTTTTTTCCTCTTATCAAATGAACTTCTCTTCTAATCGCTAAATATTTTTCTTATTTTTTGATATGTTTTATGAAACTATGTTTTTGATTTGCATCCAAAACAGTGAACGCTTTGTTTGCCATAATTAACACTCAATTGGAATCTCTGACCGCTTGTGGCGATAATATGGAGAGCAATATAACCATTGATTTCAATGAATTGGTTGACAAATCGGTAGAGCTCTGCGAAATACTTCACAACGACTTTGTCTTCGCACCGGTATGTCATTATCTCTGACCGCTTGTGGCGATAATATGGAGAGCAATATAACCATTGATTTCAATGAATTGGTTGACAAATCGGTAGAGCTCTGCGAAATACTTCACAACGACTTTGTCTTCGCACCGGTATGTCATTCCTTTCCTTCCCTTAACTCAATACTAATTGCATACACTTTGCGGACATTATAAATAATTTTAATACTTTTATCTACACTTTGAACTGAAGCCGTGCGCTAACATACGGGACATAATAATGGATAAAATCGAGAGTTATGTCATTTACGGTGTGTTATGTGAGGCCATTAAGAACCCGTCGTCCGACCTTCAGCTCCGACAACGTTATCGTCAGTTTGACTTCGACGAGGAGGAAGAGGACGATGGATACGTGGGCTTCAGAAACGGGTTCACAAAACGCGAGCTCCGGCTGGTGTTGAGCGACGAGAATAAGCAGACAATCAGTTTCTATCGGTCTGTGCTGTCCTCATATATCGAGTCGTATTGGGTCGCGGCCTCAGCGCTCACACAACTCATTGGTGTCGACTCTCTCGACGAGAAGTCATTCTTCAACCGAATGATAGACATCGCGAAACAGAAGCAACAGAAAGGACTCATATTTCACGGTATGTCTAGTGTTTGACACACTTTTAAACTGAAGGGAAATTGAAATTAATTGTTCGCTTGTTTTGTATGGCAGAGGAATGTATAGCCGCCGAGCCGTTCAAGAATGCGGTGAAACTGTTTGAGAGCTGGAATGTGTTAAATGTGCGGACAAACGGGTCGGCCGTCCGCCACATTGGACTGAATCCAGAATTCAAATCGATTGTAACGCTAAACGATGTGATCGCAAGAATCGAAGAATTCAAGAATTAAATCCTATTTTTTTGCAAACAAATACTTATTTTATGAACAAATAGTTAGGCTTTTCGGGCAAAACACACGTTAACTTGTAATATAAGAGCTATTTATATGAGTTGTCATATCGTATGCATTATCGTAACGAATGGCGCGGCTATTGGTTTTACGCCAGAATTGTCTTCAAATGAATTTTATAACGAATATCAACGAAATAATGGTTTTTATT